TTCACATGCCCACTGCACCTCAGGGTTACTCACCTGAATCCCAATCAGGTTCCAACCCTCATGTTTTCCGCTGCCTTCTGGGAAAGAAGCTTGAAACATTGCAAATTGAAGGCCTCTTGGAGAGTTATCGTAATCCTCTTGTATACTACTTATTTTAATCCTCCTAGGCAGGAAATGACGCCAAGGCAACCATTGTCTTTGCTTTTGGTATATGTAGCAAAAGTCTAAGCAAATAGTTAAAAGTTTACAGGAAATAATTAAGAAGCAGGTTGCTAAATGAAAGGTCAGTGGTTTAAATTCACCCAGATAATCATCTAATTCTGGAAAAGGAGTCATCTAAAACTCTGTGGAGAACAGTTCTACTCTAATATATATAATCTAATATATATATATTTCTCAAATGAAGTTAAATAAATACTTATACAATCAAATTACATCCCATGAGATGGATAAGTATCTTAGTGATTTCTGTAAATTTAAATCCTTCCTAAATCTTGTTCGTCCCCCAAAATAAAACTTCTGAGATACTGATATTCTTAATTGCTACCAAATAGAACCTCTCTAATCTGTTCTTTATTGACCAGTAATCTAGCCTATGTAAGGCATTGTTTCTTTCTACAATAAACATGAGTTAATTATTAAGGGATTTTTGTTCTTACCTCAATTTACCTCATCTTTTACTTGTTAAAAATTTTTTCACATGCACACCCATGTTTATTGCAGCTTTGTTTACAATAGCAAAGAGGTGAAAGCAGCCTAAGGGCCCATCAACAAACGAATGGATAGAGAAGCTGTGGTATATCCACATAATGGAATACTATGCAGCATTGAAAAACAAGGAACTCATGCAGTGTTATTCAAAGTGGGTGACCCTGGAGGACATTATGCTGAGTGAAATATCTCAGTCACAAAGGGACAAATACTGCATGGTGCCACTGTTGTAGAATGGGTCTGACATCAGGGTGGGGGTATGACAGAAAAAACTGGATAAATTATGTATATTGTATTGAAACAGATGAGGGAAAGAACAGATTAGAAGTGATATATGATTGAGTATTATGGTGAACACAGGAATCCAGAATTAAGGTTGCACAGAGAAGTGTACTCGGGGTGGGGGGTGGGGGGAAGGGACATGGGAATTGTATACTAATGAAGGATTTTTTTTCTCTCTTCGGAGGGGGAAGCGAGCTGGTGGGGCGGGGTGGGCAGGGAGAAAATTGCGGCAATGAATGAATGGAAATCCAAAACCTCTGTGTAAAAAAAAAAATAAATAAATAAAATTAACAATGAAAAAAATAATAAATTTTCACAGTGGTAAATTGTTAGCCTATTAATAAAGTTAAAGGGTAAATGTACTGAATGATAATGAATAATTTTATGTTATCTACAATTATTAACTTATTTGTTAGCATACTTAGAATGGGTAGGGAGAGATTCCAGCTATTAAAAAAAACCAAAACAAATGTTTAATTCCAATTTAGGCAGTATACATGTCCTTTTCTGAGCAAAGACTTCAGATTTTGAAATCACATTTTCTTTTTGAAAGATCTTAACCTAAGCATACATATATTCACAGAAGTTCTCAACAAGATCTTGGAAAAGAGCTACTTATGGCTTCTAAGTACCCAACACTTATCATCCCATTTAATGGAGAGAAAGCATACTCAGGTGAAATGGTCTGGAAAGATTCTCACATTGCTCAGCCATGAAGCTAGGAAATTTGTAAGTCTAGTGAGAAGAGGTTCAAACGATGTTCCTAGGAATACTACTACACTAGCATTTCCAAGGAGTTTCTGGGAGAAGGGAAGAGAGTAGAGGTTTAGGGACAGAAGAACATTACTTGTGAGAAGCTAACTATTCCCCTCAGTGACTTCTGTCTATATTAGCAATTCTATGAGGAATGCTTTAAATCACCCTGTATTTTGAAATCCAGCCTAATTGCCTGGTGATTTATGACTCTTCATAGAATTGTGAAATAATCTGAAAATTGCCAGCAAACTGTCAGGTAGAAATCTATCTTCCTGTTGACCTTTTTTTGGTCAAACACATAACTGTTTTAACTTTGTATAAATTGTTAAGAAAGAGAGGAAACACTAGGAAATTCCTTAAATTTATTCCTTTTAGAAGCAATAATAGCAACAAAGACATACTGAAAACCTATTCACCTACTTTTAAGAAGTCTAGAAAAACAGAGCAAATTATACTACTTCCTTTATCTTTATAGTAATTCTGATTAACAGAAGAAGCATTAACTTCAACTCCTTAATTTTTTTCTTTTTTTTTCTTTTTAAGGAGGACTTGACTGCCAAAATCTCTTCCCTGTTTTAAGCTTAAAACAATTTAACTCTGAATTTGTTGTTGTTTTTGTTCCCTATGGCTAATATAAAGAAGCCCTATTGACACAGTGTGTTACGGGTTGGGCTAATAACCAAAAGATTAGCAGTTCAAATCCACAAGCCACTCCATGGAAAAAAAAGATGAAGCAGTATCTTTCTATAATGATTTACAACCATGGAAATCCAGTGAAGAGTTTCCCTAAGTCTAAATCACTTCAAAGGCAACAGGTTTTGGGGTTTTGTTGTTTGGTTGTGTTTTTCATTCTGTACATCAGTTTTAGGCCATATTTATACTTTTCTAGAATCCTAGAAAGTGTTCATTTCTTGCATATTAATTATTTACAGGCCTTCGAAGTATAGACAGCCCCTCTCATTTAAATTATTAAAAAATTGTGATTTATTTGAGGAATTCAGATATTAATTCATGCTGTAATCAATTACATTCTAATAAAACATCTATGAGGATAGGTGTGTCAGACACAATAAGATTGGCAAGGGGGGTAGAGCAGGGTTTAGGGCTGTTGTACATAGGATTCCTATGAGTCCCAGGTGACTAGACGGCATGTAACAACAACAAACAATAAAATGGCTGTCTTTTAGACCACAAGACAGGCAGAGTAAGGAAGACACAGATGGGATAGGACAGGTTTCCAGCCTGCCAGGACACAATGGCTTCAAGGCACAACTGAAATTATCATTCCTCATTCTCAGTGTACCTCATCCACAGTGTGTCCTCTTGCAAAATAAATAAACCCGATCCACATGCAGTGCCTAATGAGTGCGGAAATAGAAGGCCTACGTAGCTGCACTCTGTAAGGAACAGAACCAAACCAAACACGAAAGTGACCTGTCAATTCTAACTCGTAGTAACACACTTTGTTACAGGCGGAGTGAAGAACGCTCCGTGGGGTTTTACATGGCCGTCTATGTAATCTCTGTCCTCCTCCCTGTCGGGGACCCTGTCAAGGACCTTGGTATTCACTATTGCCACATGTTCCTTATTAATTAATGCATGCAGCTGACAGAGAGCTGTTTGTTTTGTTCGTTTGTTTTTTTTACTATTGTTATAAATGTGAAATGCCAAGTAATGAGAGATACATCACAAGCAAAGAGTAGACCTAAATACAATGATATGGATGAATATCAGAAATACTATGTTAAACAAAAATCCAGGCACCTAAGAATTTATGACTGCATTATTCCATTTATATAAAATACAATGAAAAATAAGAACTAATGTAGTGAGTAGTGGTGATATTTGGTGTGGGGAGATAGGACAACAAGAACTAGAAGAAAGTGTGGAAAATCTCTGCATGGTTTTCTTGATCTAAGTACTAATTATCTGGATGTGTTCAGTCTGTGAAAATAGATTGATAGTGTGTACGTGCATAAACCTATATAATGTACAGATAGATGATAGCTAGCTAGCTAGCTAGCTAGATGATAGATAGATAGATAGATAGATAGATAGATAGATGATAGATAGATAGATAGATAGATAGATAGATAGATAAGATAGATAGATAGATAGATAGATAGATAGATAGATAGATGATAGATGAATAATACTGTGGATGTTCTTAATGTGTACCGTCAAGTCAGAACAGACCCATAGCTGACCCTCCAGTGGATTTTCAGAGGTAGTTAATGGCACGGGAGGAGATCACCCATCCTTCTCCCATGGAGCAGCTGGTGGCATCAAACTGCATGCCTTCAGGACCGCAGCACAGCTTCTTGCCACTAGGCCACCAGAGCTCCCAATATCTTGTATATATAACATTTGTTTTTAAAAAGTTACAACTATGATGGTTTTTCAATCATTGTATACCCAGATCATCTAATATCCTCATTTCAGAAATGTGAAATAGTGAGTCGAGGCCCCTCAGTTCCTGCAAGACACTAATAGCCATCTAACGAACCTCGTTGCTTTTGAGTCAGAACTGCCTCAGAGTGACCTTCCAGTGGGTTTCTGTGGCTTTAAAGCACATGGGACAACGTGGCCCATCTGTCTTCTGTGGAATCACTGGTGGGTTCCAACTATCGGAGACTTTGGATTTGAGTAGAAACTCACTACAGAGTTCCCTAGGTCACTCCTCTTATAAAAGCCTTTCATTTCTCTCCTAGTTTTCAGATTCTATAATTTTAAAAGCCACTGCAGTAGACTCTAATTAACTGTCTTATTTTCTTTTTACATCAATCAGTTGGCCTTCTATTCTGTTCTATTAAGGAGCACTGGTGGCTTTGTCGTTGTTGTTAGGTGCCATCAAATACAACACATAGTGGCCCTATGAATAACAGATGTGACTCCTGTTCTATCCTGTGCCAATCCTCACCACCCCTGATACTTAGTGATAAGGAGTTGTGCTGCTGGTGCAAAGGTACACAGTTCAAATCCACTAGCTGCTCCATGATAAAGCTGGGAAATCTCCTCTCATGCAATTTACTACCTAGCTCTGAAAAGCCATGCAGGGTCAGCTTTGGATTGTTTCTGTCTCGAGGGCACACAACATCAATAATCTACTGTGGTTTCCAAATTATCGTATCCAAAGACAAAGTTCTTTGACACGTCAAATAACACATCCACAAATTTGTTTTCTTACATGTTGAGGAGTTCTGGTTTTGCACTAATTTTTCTCTTTACTTTCTATGCACACTGTTTTCTAGGCTAGCAAAGGTCGGACTACCATAGTGATAGCACATCGACTGTCTACTATCCGAAATGCAGACCTGATTGTTGCCCTAAAAGATGGGAGAGTAGTAGAAAAAGGAACGCATGCTGAACTAATGACAAAACAAGGTCTATATTATTCACTTGCCATGTCACAGGTAATGTCTACCCGATAAAACTTGACTTCAGAGGATTGTGGAGAGAGTATATAACTCACTAGAAAGTAGAAGTGTCGAATTACAATCTTAAATTTCACAGAGCAGTCAGACGGTATTTATAGCTCTTCAGTGAAGAAGTATTTACTGAGACCTCCTCAACATTGTACTAGATAATATAATGAATGTTAAATAAGAAGAATCAGCACATAACCTTATACTTGTAAGGAATAAATAGGCTTCAGAACTTGTAAGTGGTAGATGTGGGACTGTCTATCCCTCTGTATTATGATATTTTTTGAATTTTTTTTACTGTTTTATCTACAAAATTCTAATACAAATTCAAACAAATTCTTTTAATTTCCCTCACCCCACCTAACAAATTGTGCAATCCGATGATTAATCCCCTCTTCCCCCTGTACATCCACATCCCTCTACTTCCAGCCTCTCCCACCCTTCCTGGATCATTATACTCATTCTACGATAACTATCTTATACAATATTTATCCTTGTGGGACTGAGTTAATTCACTTATTATAATGCTCTTCAGTCCCAAGTTAGGTACTAATTTACAAAGTTATTGCTCCTACGTGCTGCATAGTATTCCATTGTGTGAATGTACCATAATTTCTCAATCTATTCATTTATAGTTGGACATGTGTGCTGTGTCCATGTTCTTGTGATGGTGAATAATGCTGCTATGAACATTGGTGTACAAATCTCAATTTGTGCCTCAGTTCTCATATTCTCAGGGTATATTCCAAGTAGTGGAATAGATGGGTCATATGAAATTTCTATGCTCAGCTTTTTGAAGAAGTGACAAACTGCCTTCCAGAATGGTTGCACCATTTTACAATCCCACCAACAATGTTTAAGAGTTCCTTTCTCACCACATCCTCTCCAACATCTATTACCTGATGCCCTGTTAAACTTTGCCACTCTTACTGGAGTGAGGTGGTACCTCCTTGTGGTTTTGATTTGCATCTCTCTTATTGCCAGTGACTGGAGCATTTTTTCCCTGTGTCTGTTTGCAATTGAAATTTATTGTAGAGGTAAAATGCATAGTTCTACGTACTATGTGTACATATGTATATGTACTATATGTATATAGTTTGTACATATTACATACAGTAGAAATAAGCAAGAAGGGTGGATGTGGAGTTGAGGACACTGGATTTCCCTACAGGACATTTCATGGAAAAGGTGTTGAAGTCTAGAAGGCAGGGGCTTCAGAAGGAGGAGTCTAAACAGAGAGCAATATGGAAGGAAGAGGAACCTGACACTCATCTAAAAGAATAAGAAGCCTATCTTTTCCTAAGAAAATATGACTATGGAACCAAAAATTGGATAACAAAGTCAGATAGTTAAATCTTGAAAAGCAAGACAGAAGGGCTGAGGTTGATATATAAGACACTAACATGGACCCTAATATTCAGTGGTCAGTAAATATCTGTTGACATGAGTGGATGCACACATAAATCCATACCTGAGTACATGCAGCTTTCCCACAGGTAAATCAGAAAGCTCAGTTTTCTTTCCACAGTTAATTTTCACAATTCTAGAGAGATACTGATAAATTTTCAGTCTTTGAGATTGCTTTTTCTGCATGCCAAATTTTCAGTTATATGAAAATTAATTTCATGTGATTTTTTTTTTCAAAAATCCAAACTCACTGCCATCAAGTCCATGCCAGCTCATGGTGATCTTCTATTATGTTTCCAAGGATATAAATCTCAATGGGAGCAGACTTCTTGGTTTTTCTCCCATGGAGCAGTTGGTGAATTCAAACCTCTGACCTTTTGGTTTGCAGCTCAATATGTAATAATGCACTATGCTTCTAGGGATACCTTAATTGTTTTAGGACATAAAATACTAGTTAGAATATGTGACAGGAATGAGAAGCTAGCTATATTCTTTATTCTTGACCTAGTAGAAGTCTGCTTTACAAAGGATGTCCTGTAGATAAATAATCACAAAATTTTTATTTCACTTCTTTATATTTCTAATTCTATTTTGGAGGCCAATGTCATTATCATTAGAATCCTTTACTGTAACAAATTAAGTCATTAGATGCTCAACTACTAACTGAAAGGTTGGTAGGTTGAACCCACCTAAAGCTGTCTCTATCTTCTTATCAAACTTAAAATTCCAAATTTCAAACCCTAGCTTTCTCTGCTTTGATAAATATTTCTGAGAATACCGTATAAAGCAGTGATAGTGGAAAGGGTGCTTTAAAGTATAAAATATGATTGAAAAACTTCCCAATTCTGATTTCATATCACGTCAATCCATATTTTGTATCTTCTTAAAGAAGAAAAGTTAAATAGTATTTGTCTGTTAAATTTGTATGACTTTCATTTCATTGTAAAGGAGACTTAACATTTTATGAAGTTACTAAATACAAAATTTTCAAACTACTACAATAATTGTGATCCAATTAACTCTGTTTTGAAATTACAGAAAAATCACTACACTCTTCTTTTTCTTTAGGGTTAATATTGTTGTGGTGTATCGAGGATGACTCATAGGGACCCTATAAACAACAGATCTGAACCCTGTCCTGTGCCATCCTCATCATCTGTGACACACTTGAGCCCATTGCTGCTATATCATATGTTAGATATACTATACAGTAGCCAGAATAAACACCTTGATTTACTCATTCAGATAAGCAGAAAAAAAATGTATCACCTTCATGTCAATCTGTCTCATTTTTCTGTCAATAGAAACAAAAATCAGACTTACAGCATTCTGGCTTAAAACATAGTCTTACCCTGTAACATAAACAGTTTGACGTTGACCTTGTTCCTTTTGAGTTTCTCACTCTCAAGCAGCTGGCACAATTCTTTTTTTTTTTTAATCCATTAGACGATGTTATTCTCTTCCAGACCCAGGACTAGCCTCACGTATAATGTCTAGAGACACCTGGGAGGAAGGAATCAGAAGAGTTATCTCTGAGTCCTCTTTCTCAGAAATTTCCTACATTGCTTTCTCTAGGTGTTTACAGAGTTTTTGAACTCTGGCACCATAATTCATAAGGTGTTGCCCTGGTAACCCAAAGCTAATATCTCTGAAAAGAAAGATGGTCAGTCTCCCACTACGTAACTTACAACCCTGGAAACCAGATGGCAGAACTGACAGAATGATAACAAATTTGAACTTTCTTGAAAAAACAGAGTCCCTGGGTGGTCACCTTTCTCACCACCAAGAGGTTGTGGTCAAAGTCTAATGAAAAGCGCCTTGGAATAAAGACCCAGTAGGGTTAAACCGGGTGGCTCCTTGGAGGCAAGGATTCTGAGGCTCTGTCTAACTTACTTTGGACATGTTGTGAGGAGAGACCGGTCCTTAGAGAGGGACATCATGCTTGGGAGGGTGGAGGGATGGCGCAGGAGAGGAAGGCCCTCTATGAGGTGGATTGATTCAGTGACTGGGATAATTGGGATGGGAGTGTCAGAGACAGTGCGATTGGCACAGGACAGAGCGGAGTTTAGGGCTGTTGTACATAGGGTCGCTATGAGTCGCAGGCGACTCGACGGCACATAACAACAACAACAACAGTGACCTAATTGCAGAAACCAGCTAATGGAAAATTTTATTCAGAGCTCTAATTTGACACACATGGATGATAGAATTTAGAGTAGATTTGATGGCAACTGGTTTGGGTTTTTTGTTGTTGTTTTAAAGAAATCACAATAACTAACCTATTGTTAGTCACTAATATCTCAGTATGAGTTAGACCTGTTAGTTCTCTCTCTAGCCTGAAAACTGTTCAATAAGAACTGCATGACAGTGGCAGAGTCACTAACTGTTTGGAAGTTTGCTTAATAGTGTTCTTTTGAATTTTGAGGATTTGTCTTAATGATTCTTATAATTCTTCATTTAAGGAAATTAAAAAAACTGATGAACAGATGGAATCTATGACACACTCTACTGAAAAAAATATCAGTTCAGTATCTCCATGCTCTGTGAATACCATCAAGTCAGGCTCCAAACAAGACTTTGCTGACAAGTCTGAAGAATTAATACAGAATAAGAAGGTAAAAGTTGAGCTGTAAACAAATTGTTCCCAAATATTCTTCCAATGAAATCTGCATAATGCTTATAATGTTTATAATCCATTTATGATGTAGTTTTACAATACTATCTTTATAAAACTTAAGTCTCCATCAAACTTTGCTTCAGCATCACTGAGACACTCTAAAAAGGCCTCCTAATAAGTTTGTATTTATGTTAGATGTGATTGTTGGAGCGACAAATGTCACGAGAATGTTATATTACAAATTCACATTGACAGATAAATACATAGTAGATATCTATTCAGAAGAATGGTAGGCAGCAATACAAAGAAATGGACTATTGATTCATACAGCAGTGTAGCTGAATTTCAAAATAACTTGAGCAAAAGAAGTGAGTTTGAAAAAATATATATACTGTTTAATCCTATTTTTATAAAATCCTAAAAAAAATGCAAATAAATCCAGAATGATAGAAAGTGTATTTATGATTGCAGTGGAAAAGATTGGCAGCTAAGAGGTATTACAAAAGATAGATTACAAAACACAGGATGAATTTTTTTTTAGTAATAGCCATATTATCATTATCTTGACAGTGGTGATGGTTCCACCACATGTAGTTATGTCCAAACTTAACAGGTCATATTGTTCTGTTGTTATATGCTACTGAGTTCGTTCCAATTCATAATAATTCTATGTAAAACAGATAAAATCCTGCTCAATTCTATGCCATTCTCACAATTTCTTCTATGCTTACACTCTGTTGCTATCACTGTGTCAGTCTAACTCCATATAGGTTTTTCTCCCCTTTTCTGAACCTTTACTGTTCTGAGCATGATGCCCTTTCCAAGGACTAGCTATTCCTGATAATAGGCCCAAAATATACGAGAGGGCTTCTCATGGTCCTTGCTTCTAAGGAATATTCTGGCTTCACTCTGTTTGTTCTTTTGGCAATGCATTTTGTATTCAATACTTTCACCAACACCACAACTCCAAGAGACCAATTAAGTCTTCTTAATCTATCATCCAACTTTCACATGTAGGTAAAGCAAATGAAATTACCATGTCTGAAGTCAGGCACACTTTAGACTTTAAGCTGAAATCCCTGCTCAATTTGTCTAATGCAGTATATCTTTTGATTTATTGACTGCTGTTTCCATGGGACTTAAAATAAAAATCTTTGACTATTTCAATGTCTTTTCTATTTATCATTATGCTGACTATTGATCAAGTTGTGAAGATTTTTGTTTTCTTTATATTAAAGT